GTGTAGTGCAATGCCCACAAAAGACAGAAGCTGCTGTCTAGAACTGGAGTTACAGACAGTTGTTAGCTGCTATGTGGGTGCTGGGATTCAAACCCAGGTCTTCTGCAAGAACAGTCAGTGTTCTAACCACTGAGCCATCTCTATAGCCCCTGTTGGTTTTTTGTTTGTTTGTTTTTAAAGACAGACTCTCTTACTGTGTAGCTCCAACTGGCCTGGAACTCACAGAGATCCACCTGCTTCTGACTCTTGAGTGCTGGAATTAAAGGTGTACGCCACCACTCATGGCCTTTTTTCCTTTTCAATAGGAAGGTAAATTTTCCCTTAGTCCACTGAGCCATCTCTATAGCCCCTGTTGGTTTTTTGTTTGTTTGTTTTTAAAGACAGACTCTCTTACTGTGTAGCTCCAACTGGCCTGGAACTCACAGAGATCCACCTGCTTCTGACTCTTGAGTGCTGGAATTAAAGGTGTACGCCACCACTCATGGCCTTTTTTCCTTTTCAATAGGAAGGTAAATTTTCCCTTAGTTGCCTGAATAGGTGCATTGTGGGCCAGGCACTGCACTTAAGCCAATATATTGGTGTCTCACTCCCCACAGCCTCTGCCTGCCTCAGTTTCCTCTGACTGCAATCTGGGCCTTAAAGGAAGTAGATTCACCATGCCTCTGATTTCACATAACCCTGAGGCATCCTATGGGTCATAGTGGCTTTAAAGATGTGCTCGCATCTTCTGTTTGCCGTGGGCCCATACCAGAACAGAAATTGGTACCAGAGAGTGGGATATTGCTGTGACAGACCTGACCTTGGTGTTTTGGGGAGGACTGTGGAAGTGTTTGGAACTTTGGGCTGGAAAAGCCATTGCATGCTCAGAGTTTGTTGCAGTAGAGCTTGGAACAGTTATGCTGAAAGAGTTGTAGATGATGGAGGCCTGGCTTGTGAAGCTTCAAAGGGAAATGGAGACTATCAGGGCTGTTCGTATGAGAATTTTGGATTGAGGATCTGTGGGTTCTGGTTGACTGGGGCTGAAGAATCAGCTGTGATTAAGAAGAGACCAGAACCTGAAGCAAAACCTTTGCTTTATTGGGACAACTGATACTGGTTAGCTGGGGCTGAAAAATCAGCTGTAAGTAACAAGAGACCAGCATCACTGTGGTGGAGTCTTCTGGGAGGTATTTCCTCAGGGTCAGCACACAGAGGGGACCCGCACCTCTATTTCAAGCTGGAAGCAGGACTTGGTAATGTGTAAGAGTCTCCTGCATGGTTCTGGTGTTGAAAGTGTGAAGGGGTGTCGCATCTCACTGACCTGGCCTCAGTCCCTATGCTCAGGCGGGTAAGAGTGCAAGAGCTGCCTTGGCTGGCAGGCAGAGGAGAGTACAGCTCTGTACCAGCTCCTGCCTGGCCCTCCTTGCCCTTCTGCCTGCCATTGCTACCTGTGGGGATGTTTCACTTACTTTCCTCACATGGCATCCCCATACAGATGGGCCACTTGGAGCAGCATAGTGGGAAGATGTGAGCAGTGTCCTGGTGTCTGATCTCTGCTTTCTGCTCAGGGACACCCAGCCTGGGACTTGCTGTGCCTCTATACCATGGGGCTCCACACCCTGGCTGGTAGGGGTAGGATCATTGCCATGCCTCCCTTCCCACACTGGACACAGGATCAGAAGAAGTGGCTAGGCCCAGAACAGTGGATGGGTCCAGGACAAGCTATGGCTCAAGAATGAGGTTGCAGGCTTCTGTCAGCCTACAGGGAGGAGCTGTGGAAAAGGTGGCTCTTGGACACTCCCCTTCCTCTAGAACCCCCAGGGCCTCACTGCAGATGGCTCAGGCAGAGGACGGAAGCTATGTCAGGGTCTGGTAGAACATTCCTGCCTTTCTCATGAACCTCTCTGGCCGGGCCTAGTATCTCCTGGCCAGTAGGGCACCTTTCCTGAGCCATCCTTCTTTTCCCTTCTGTTCTGTGGTCTGGGACCTTGGCTGCCCCAGGATTGGCTGGTGGAGGCAGCCTCTCTGCAACCCACATTCCCTTCCCAGGAAGCGGAAGAAGGCTGAGTGTGTCCTGTAGAATTGAATAGCAGGAAATCTCTCCATTTACACAAAGAAAGTTGGCAGACAAGAGCAGGCGGCCCAACACCAAGGGCCAGGGCCGGCCCCTGTGGGCAGAAGGGACTGGGGCCACACCAGCTTCCCACACATTCCACAGCCTTATGGGTCCGCTGGAGTGGGGTGGCAGGGGTGCCCCTTCCCTAGGTCTCCACAGGGCTCAGCCCTACCCTCCCCACAGCTTAGAACCTGAGTGAAGTCCCCTGATAGGGTGCCTCCATCTGTACAGCCCCCTATCAGCACTCCTCGCCGCTCTGACTCAGCCATCTCTGTCCGCTCCCTGCACTCCGAGTCCAGCATGTCTCTGCGCTCCACATTCTCGCTGCCCGAGGAAGAGGAGGAGCCGGTAGGTGTGGTGGGCTTGGCAGGGATGGTCTTTGAGGGCTGTCACTGTGCTGCAGTGGCATAGGGCACCTTCCCTTTAGGACACACCAGCCTGGGTCCCAGTGAGGGTGGGTCAGAGCACCTGGTCTGTTGGAACTATCTCCCTATCTCCCCACTCCTGTCTCAAGGCTGCCTGGGTGGTAGGAAGGTGAGGCTCAAGTAGGGTACTTTCTAGTCTTTATCCCAGGAAGATGGAGCCAGTGAGGGCTGGCTGAGACTGTGTAGACCTTGTATGTGTGGCTAGTCGTTGCTCAGGCTCTGCCTCTGGAGCCATACCCCTTGCTCTTTGCTCCTTGATTCTGTCATGGTCCCAGCCTCAGCAGCACTTCCTAGGACAGACTCAGCCCCAAAGAACAGCCCTGAATCTAGACAGGGTGAGCATGCAGGTGGCCTGGGGACTGAGTGCCCACTCCCTGAGCCCCCACCTTAGCACCCCATGCTCACCTCCTCATTACCTGACCTTTCCTTTGCTCTGTCTAGGAACCACTGGTATTTGCCGAGCAGCCTTCAGTGAAGCTATGTTGTCAGCTCTGTTGCAGTGTGTTCAAGGACCCTGTGATCACCACTTGTGGGGTGAGGTTACCCTCACGGACCCTCTTCCTCACTGCAGGGTCCTCCCCTTGACTCTTGGGTCAGTGGGCTGCTGGCCCCTTCCCAGAGCCATGGCCTTGCTCATTGGCCTGAACTGGCTGCCCAACAGTTACCCTCTACAGTGGGCATGGTATGGGGTGAGCCCTGGGTTACCACTGGCCTCTCCTTGTGGGAAGGTAACCACAACTGTCCCCCAAATCCACTCTTTGTTTCCACAGCACACGTTCTGTAGAAGATGTGCCTTGAAGTCAGGTAGGTCTCTGCCTCCTGTCCAGACCTGGTTGGTTACCTATTTCCCAGGTAGGAGGATGGGTGGTCCCAGCCCTGCTGTTCCCCTGGCAGCCAGCAGAGGCCACTGGCTTCTCCCTTCCTTATGCTGGCATTTGTGGCCTTTTCTGGGGCTGGAATGGTATTTATAGGGGCTGAAGCCCAACAGAGGACCTCTGCAACAAAGCAATGAGACCCCAAACCTCTGGTGTCCCCAGACTCAGCCCTCATTGTGGTAAACGTGAGACACCTCCTAGGGTCAGGGCTTAAGCTCCAACAGATGCCATTGTCCCTAGCAGCCCCTATTCTTGGCCCATACTAGGCTGGTTGCCTGTCTACCCTCCTGTTCCCTACCCCTTTAACCTTGCCTAAGACTACTGGGTTGGCTGAGGCCTCTGTCACCACCTGCTCCTCTGGGAGACCTACTGTGCATTTCTTCCTGTGTGGATACCTTGGGGCAGATGGAAGGGTAGATGAGACACCCAGGGAGTTCCTGCCTGCCAGAGCATCCTACCTCCCCAGGACTTGGTTTCCCCATGGACAGATTTGCCAGGTGATGGGGTAGCTGGGCAGATGGTAGACTCAGCATGCCTTCCTCCCCCAGAGAAGTGTCCTGTAGACAACGCCAAGCTGACAGTAGTGGTGAATAACATTGCGGTAGCTGAGCAGATTGGTGAACTCTTCATCCATTGCCGACATGGCTGCCGTGCAGCAGGTGCTGGGAAGCCTAGTATCTTCGAGGTAGACCCCCGTGGCTGCCCCTTCACCATAAAGCTCAGTGCCCGGAAGTGAGTACCTTCTGGGCCCCTAGTTCCCTGACAGTGCTGAGCACCTTCACCTCTCTGAGGCTCCATCATGAGGCCCCAGCTCAACCCCATGTCCTGAATGTACACAGGGACCATGAGGGAAGCTGTGACTACAGGCCTGTGCGCTGCCCCAACAACCCCAGCTGTCCACCCCTGCTCAAGATGAACCTAGAGGCCCATCTGAAGGAGTGCGAGCACATCAAATGTCCCCACTCTAAGTACGGGTGAGTGGGCGGGGGCGGGGCGGGGGCTGGTGGGGTCCTAAGCCATCCTCAGCACACCTTGCCTGAGGACCCTGGTGAGCTGTTGCATGGGAGATGGACCAGTACCAGGAGCCACACCAACGACTGCCACCACAGTTGACATCCAGGTGCCCAGGAGAACATAGAGGACTGAACAGGTTGGGAGTGGGATGTCAGGGAAAGCAGGTAAAGGGACATAGATTTGAACAAATGTCTGGAGTTGTGGGCACGGAGAGAAGGTGGGTACAGAGAAGAGGAGCCCAGCTTTTCAGAGCAGGGAGGCTAGTGATGGGCAGAGGTTTTAGTCTCAGGGTGGGAGGGGCCCTTGGGGCACGTGATAGGATTTCACTGGTGAAATGGCCTAACTGCTAGGTGATGGAGGTCAGGTAGGTGGCTGGATCTGGGGGTGATGAGTACAGCAGTGGATAACCCTTGAGGGGTTTGGGGAGGTTTAAGGGAGCAGTCCTGTCAGGCAGGCAGGTGGGCAGCTGTCCTGTCCCCCCAGGTGTACATTTATCGGGAACCAGGACACATATGAGACACACTTGGAGACATGTCGCTTTGAGGGCTTGAAGGAGTTCCTGCAACAGACAGACGACCGTTTCCATGAGATGCATGTAGCACTGGCCCAGAAGGACCAGGAGATTGCTTTCCTGCGCTCTATGTTGGGCAAGCTCTCAGAGAAAATTGACCAGCTGGAGAAGAGCCTCGAACTCAAGTTTGGTGAGGTCCAGTCCAGAGAGAACAGAGTCGAGTACTGCTCTGGACCCCAGTAACACCTTTCTTTTGCCACTCAGATGTCCTGGATGAGAACCAGAGCAAGCTTAGTGAAGACCTCATGGAGTTCCGGAGGGATGCGTCCATGTTGAATGTGAGTAAGCAAGGTGATAAGATGTAAGAGGGCATGGCATGTTGGGGCACAGGACTTTTCTACATCTAGGGCCCCTCCACTGGCCTCAGTCCCTACTAGTCAGGGTTTAAGGGTCTGTATTCTGCCCTTGGCCTTGCAGGATGAGCTGTCTCACATCAACGCACGCCTGAACATGGGCATCCTTGGATGTGAGTATGTCTCACTGCTATTCCCACACTCTGTCCCCAGAGCCCCACTAGCCCCTCATTGGCTTCTCCTATTTGCAGCCTATGACCCTCAGCAGATCTTCAAGTGCAAAGGGACCTTTGTGGGCCACCAGGGCCCTGTCTGGTGTCTCTGTGTCTATTCCATGGGTGACCTGCTTTTTAGTGGCTCTTCCGACAAGACCATCAAGGTGGGTAGGGTCCTATCCCACAGGCTCTGCAACTTTGCTGGGTTCAGCTGGGCACTACATGCAGCCTCTGCTACCTTCTGCCTATGGCTGGGCCTTTTCCCTTATGGTTGTCATCCTGTCCTTCAGCACTGGGTTGACTCTGCTGTGACCTGGTCTGGCTTAATCTGTGCAGGTCTGGGACACATGTACCACTTACAAGTGCCAGAAGACACTGGAGGGCCACGATGGCATTGTGCTGGCACTCTGCATCCAGGGGTGAGTCTGGGTACAGGTGTACCCACTGACCACTGGGATAGGAGATGCCATACTTCCACCCTGTGAGCTCTGAGCCTGAGCTTGAGCCTGAATAGCTTGTGTCTGCTCCAACTGTGGAGTACCTTCACACCTGAGCAATGCTGGGTTCCTGGATGACAGTCAATGAACTCCCAGCAGTCTTAGCCCCGCCCTTAGTGTACGCCAGGTACCCAGAGGCCAGAGGTGGCACTCATAGCTGTTAGGGAAGCTCAGCTGTTATTACTATGGCTAGTGCCTTGGGCTCAGCTCTGAGTATAGCAGCTATTGTGGTTAACTTCTTGGTAGGCTTTTCCCAAGCCCAGCCTTCCTGTCTTGTGTCATGTTTCCTGTGTGTGGTCATAGTATGTATCTAGGGTAGAAGCCTTGCTTAATTTCACTGGTAGCAGTAGCTGCCCTGGGACTTAGTGATTAGATTGGGTGGCCACATCCAAGGTTCCCATGAAAACTGTGACTGGCACTTAGAACCTCATCCACCTAAGGCTAGGCACCCTGAGGTAGACCAGACACTGGGCACTTGGTTCCTGGGACCAGCTTGGGCATAATGCCCAAGGAAAGTAGCTTTTCCCTGCCTCCATATGTTGACTTTACTTTTGCAGGTGCAAATTGTACAGTGGATCTGCAGACTGCACCATCATTGTGAGTGGGGCATGGGCACAGAAGCAGGAGTGGGTAGCCAGAAGAGACTCAGTGCTCATACTCTCCTCAGTAACTTCAGCTCTGAGGCTTATTGTCAATCCATACAGGTGTGGGACATCCAGAACCTGCAGAAGGTGAACACCATCCGGGCCCATGACAACCCTGTGTGCACATTGGTGTCTTCCCACAACATGCTCTTCAGTGGCTCCCTGAAGGCCATCAAGGTATAGGCAAGGGGTGTTCATGCATGTGGCAGGCAATGGGGTGGTAGGCACCTCCCCAGCCAAAGCTCATGTTCATCTCCTACAGGTCTGGGACATTGTGGGCACTGAGCTGAAATTGAAGAAGGAGCTCACAGGCCTCAACCATTGGGTGCGGGCCCTGGTGGCAGCCCAGAGCTATCTGTACAGTGGCTCCTACCAGACAATCAAGGTGCACTAAAGCCCCCCTGTGCCCCTCCCCCCAACCCCCCAGTAGTAAGAACTTGCCCTCTGCTATATTTCCCAGGCTGCCCCTAGAGCTCTGTCCTGTCTGTACCCTCTACATGCCCTGGGTGAACTTCTGAGCCCCAGAGATGAGGTGCCTGGCCTGAGACCAAGTGACATACTTGCCCTTAGATTTGGGACATCCGGACCCTTGACTGCATCCATGTCCTACAGACATCTGGTGGCAGTGTCTACTCCATCGCTGTGACGAATCACCACATTGTCTGTGGCACCTACGAGAACCTCATCCATGTAAGGCTAGGCACCCTGAGGCAGACCAGATGCTGGGCTCATCTCCCCTCCTCTTGTTCTAGATCCCCATCTCTAACTTGCCTGTGTGTGCCCCCTTTCAGGTATGGGACATTGAGTCCAAAGAGCAGGTGCGGACTCTAACGGGCCATGTGGGCACAGTGTATGCCCTGGCAGTCATTTCAACACCAGACCAGACTAAAGTCTTCAGTGCATCCTACGACCGGTCCCTTAGGGTATGGTGCTGCCCAGTAGTAGCAGGTGGCCCAGAGGAAGGGCTGTTTGGCCTTGGTAGGCCCTCACATCCTTTGTGCCCCCCTAGGTCTGGAGTATGGACAACATGATCTGCACACAGACGCTGTTGCGCCACCAGGGCAGTGTGACCGCGTTGGCTGTGTCCCGGGGTCGGCTCTTCTCAGGGGCTGTGGATAGCACCGTGAAGGTCCGTGCCTGTGGTTTAGGTGGGGTGGGGCAGTTAACAGTGGAGGGCAGGGAGCCTTAGACTGGCCAGCAGGTATCCTTGGGCTACAGGGGATCTGAAACTCCTTTCTTTGCAGGTCTGGACATGCTAACTGAATCCAGGCTAGGCTTTGGCCCCCCTGGGTGTGGTAGTCAGGCTGGCCCTATGTGATAGTCCTGGAGTTCCTGCCTCTCCTGTGGAAACAGACAGGCTCAGGCAGCACTTTCTCTGCCCTATGCTCAGTGAGCCTCACTGTATTAGGCCCTGCCCTCACTTCTGCCAGGGGAATGCCCAGGTCCCTTTTTGGTGCCAGGTACGATGCTTACCCGGCCCACCCTTCATCACTCCAGAGGGACTATGGGCCTTTTTACTCACCTTTTCTACTGATTTTAGACTGTATATAGATTTTATTACTTCTCTGTTGAAATAAAAGCTGCACAGATTGTGGTTGTAAGTGGAGACATTTTCTAGGAGATGCAACATTGGTTGTGCACAGGCACCAAAAGGAAGGAGGAAAGTTGGGGGGACCTTTCTTCCTTTCAGGAGTAGGCTTTCCATTCCGTGGCTCCCGGCTTCCAATCTCTGAGCTTTGCTTTTCCCAGTACACACCCACCCAAAGAGTGAGCCAGGCAGCTCTGTTTTCTGCTGTTTATTGACAGCTGACAGCAGCTCCCTGCCCAGACTCCCCCCCTCCCCACCTCCTGGAGCCCCAGTCTGGGTTACCCACAGAGGAGAGGCTGGTGGATGGCCATCATGTCCACTGATGATGCCAGGGGTGACAATTAGAAGGGGTCCTGTGTCCAGACACTACCTTAGTTGGCCCCCTCCACCAGCCTACACCACAATCACTGGTTTTGGCTTTTTTAAAATTTTAGAAAGGTCAAAGTTGTGCCCAACATTTGTGGATCAGCAAACACGATAGAGGAGACCAGTATTTTGGAGGGAGGAAAAGAGGGTGAGAAGACTACATGACACAGCCTCAGACCATGAGCAGAAGTGTCCATAGGAACTCAAGGGGGAGGGATGGCTGCCTATACAGGGCTGCCTGGGTAAGGGTGGGGGAGGGCCAAGCACAACCTCACACACATATCTGCCCATAGCCTGGCATGCACACCCCTGTACTCATGTCCATGTTCATTCACCTTGCTGCACACAGGGTGCACCCTCACACCAGTACCCCAGAGCATGGCCACAGTCAGGAGGAAGGAGCCCTCCCTGGGGTCTGTGGGGCATGGAGGGGGCACGGCCCATCAGTGAGCAAGGCACATTCTTCAAACTCACAGAAGTTAGAAGAGTAGAGGACAGGCCCTGGGCAGAGCTGCCCCTCCCAGGTGTGTGTGCTTGTGACTAGAGGCAAAGCCACTCCTGGATGGAAAGAGGGAAGGACAGACAGGTTGGCCTGGGCCTCTGACAGCTTTAGTGTCAAGCTTGACTTGTGTCCTCTCCGTTGGTAAATGGTTTTCTATAGAATCAATAATATTTCTTTCTTTAAATATATATTTGTTAAAGTTATACCTTTTTGTTTCTCTGGGGAAATCTGCCTCAGCTCATTCCCAATAAATTAATACTCTTGATAGCTTATATTCTGGGAGTGCAGTGGGGCGGGCCCAACCTTGACCCCGTCCCTTGTGCTGCGCCAGAGCGGCTGGCAGAGGTTCCCCAATGGGCAGTTCTGTGCTGGGCATAGGCCTGTGCTCTGCCACAGATTGGGGAGGGGGTCACAGTAGCCACCACCCTCCTCTTCGCTTCGTGCTCTGCCTGCCTAGGGCAAAGGAGGAGCGACCTTCCAAACCTGCAGAGCAGAACCTGCGAGGGTGGGGCCCATCAGTTATTGCACAGGGAGCAGCAGACAGGATCGGGCACCAGCAGGGCAGCACGTCTACCCAGAGCCCTTGGAGTCCCCAGCCTGGCGGTCCTCCAAGCTGACAGCCCGCCTGGGCCAGGGGCGGGAGTTGTGCTTGCGCAGAGCTAGGCAGCAGGTCTGCCCGGCCTGCCCGGCCCCCGCCCTGCCGCCCAGACGTGCCCGTCCTGAGGTAAAGGTCAGAGTGAGGGCCGGAGCCAGGGGTGTGGGGGGCCGCCTCACTCCAGCATGGCGTCCAGCTGGTCGGCCAGGTCATCGAACATGCTGCCGATGTCGTCCAGGATGCTACCAGTGCTCTTCTCCACCGCGGAGGGGCTAGGGGCAGGCACGGATCAGTGGGGCGGGGCCCACTCAAAAGCCAAGCTAAACCCCTCTACCCACCAAAACCCTGCCCATCCCCACCCTTCAAGGGTCCCACCCTATGCCGGACCAGAACTCCGCAGCTCCCTACCGTGGGCCTTGCCGGTCCTCCTGCCGGATCTTCTCCTCCACCGCCTGCAGCGCCGCAGCCAAGCATGCGCTGGTCTCCTCCAGCTTCTGCCGAGCACTGTCCCCCGGAGAAGCGCTGTCGGGAGCTACTGGGGGTCCGGAGGCCGCAGCGGCAGCGGCGCGCGGGGGCTTGGCGGGCACGTGCAGAGCCGGAGTCCCGGGGGAAGGGGGCTTGGCGGGGCTGGCGCTCTGTGAGGGCTGCGAGCTGGCCGGCTTAACGAGGGCAGCTGGCGGCTGGCGCGCGGGTGAGGGCGCGGGTGAAGGGGTGCCGCTGCCCGACTGTAGCCCTGCCACAGCCTTGGCTGGCTTGGGTGCCGTGGGTGGCGGTGGAGGCTTGGGTGACACGGGCGGCGGTGTGCCATGGGCACGCTTTACCTCTGCAGGGAGGACGATGCTGGCACCCACGAGGGTAACAACAGCTCTAACTGCTGTAACCCGCCCTATTTAATCCCTGCAGTCACTAGGGCTCGAGGTTCCACTAGAAAACTATTCCCATCACTGCTTCCCAAGGCACTTCAGGTGTGGTCTGCTGCTGCCAGCCTCAAAGGTCCTCTGCTTTAAATGACTCAGTGCCTTTGCACCTCTCTCCAACATGGAAACCTTCCCTTCTCCTGCATCAGGGAACTCTGGTCAGACCTTCCTCCATAGGTGCCACTACTCTTGGCCTTTTGCAACTCCTTCACTGATCAAAAGGACTATATCCACTATAGGGCTGTCAGAGTCGTCTCACAATGGACTGGGGGATGGTGTCTGTAGCTATTCCCACCCCACCCCATTTGGGTTCCAACAAATCCAGAAAAGAAAACCAGACTAAGAGATAAGGGGGCAGGCAGGGGTCCTGTACTGGGACCCCTTGCCCTGTCCTAGCTGGTTGTCTGTACCTACCTGGGCTGCCAGGGCCTGGCAGTGGCACCTTCTTGGAGGCAGGCGTGGGTGAGCCCTGGATCTTGGGCACAGGCTGAGCCAGGATAGGCTTGGGAGAGACAGGTGGCTTCATGGGCTTCCGGGCATTGCCATCAGGCAGGGGCAGTGGGGGCAGGTGAACCAGGTCAGTAGGTGGGGGCTCAGCAGGTGGGGGTGGAGGGGGCAGTTCTGGGGGCCCAGCCTGCTCAGAGGCTGGTCGTCGGCGAACAGTGGCTGTGCCGTTCTGATACACAGACAGTGGTTGGGGTGGCTCAGGCCCAGTATCACCACGCTCCTTGGCCTTGGGCCTGCGCTTGACTGTGTCAGACTCTGTCAGCATAAACTTGACATTTTCCTGCTGGCTCTGCTTGGCCCGGATGCGCCTCTTGAGTGTGGCACTGGCCTCTACCCGGGCCAGGGGGGGGCCCTCAACACTTGCCTCACCTTTGGCTGATCCCCGAGGCCGCTGTCGGGCCGTGCCATCCTCCACAAAGTGACCCTGCTCGGCTGGCTCCCCAAGCCCCCGGCGGGCAGTTGCCAAAAGTCCAGTCACTGGGCCACTGAGTGTGCGGCGCCGGTTCACAACCTCACCACCTGGCCCAATGGCTTCTTTGTGCTTCACAGAGGCCAGCACTGTAGCTACCCGGCCTGGCTCTGGACTAGCAGGATGAGGTGTGGGGTGGCCTTCAGGGGGCCTGCGGGCAGCCCGGCCCCCACCCCCAATGGAAGACAGCTCCAACATGGCTGCAATGCTCTTCACACTGCCAGCACTCCCTGTGTCAACACTGCCAGCCAGGTCACTAGCCCGCCGGCGCTGTGCCCGGACCCCCAGCTGGCCATCTTCTGTTTCAGCATCTGGAGTAGGCTCATCAGCCAGGTTAGCACTGGCCATGGCTGAGCTGGAGCGCTTGGGTGGGGGTGGCGGGGGCCCCTTCTTACGGGGCCGTACAGCAAAGGACTGGCTGCGGTTAACATTCTTGTCAGTACCAGTGGGGGCCCTCACTGAGTGGCTCCGGCCCACTCTTCGCTGGACCGTGGCATAAGGTCCTGCAGCAGCAGGAACCAACAGCTCATCCTGCTCTGGTTCACTGTCAGATACTGCATAGCGATTCAGGCTGTGGGCACGTTTTTTGGGCCGCCCAGGCTCCATATCAGCCTCTGGGGGCAGGCATAATGTGGGCACAGCTGCTGGTACTGGTGGGGGTGCAGGTCCTGGAGCAGCTGGTCCTGCCTCACCTTCAACTGGTTGGGGAAGCACATAGGCAAAGCCACGGTGTGTAGGTGACTGAGGCAGGGAACGCGGTGACATGGGTCGTTCTGTTAGCAGCTGTGGAGTGGGTTTCACCTTGGCCGTGGCTGGAGCAGGACCATGAGGTCCCCCAAGGGCCTGAGGGGAACCTGGCTGGGCTTTTGTGGGTGTCTGTGGGGGTGTGAAGTGGCTGGCACCTGGTGGGAGGACCTGCCGTGGTTTGCCAGGCACAGGAGGCACACTAGCCCTCTTGATACTGTGTCCATGGCGGCCAGGCCGGGCCTCCTTGGGTGGAGTGCCAGGGACTGGTCCTTCATCCAGCAGGTACTCCTGGCTTCGTGACATAGGGCTGCCAGGCCCTGGGGGCCCATCTCCCAGCAGCTCCTGAGAGCTACTCATGTGCCGAGCCCGTCCACTCAGGCTAGGCTCCTGTCTCACGGTGGCCCTCGGAGTGGGTGGCAAGTGGTTGGAAGGCTTCTCAGCAGCAGTTGCACCTCCCTCACCTGGGCCAGACAGGGCAGCCTGCAGCTCACCACTGAGCTCACTGTCCTGGAAGGTGGTCATCTTAGGAGACTGGCATTCTGCTGCGGCAGGCTCAGGTGGGGGTGGTGACTCAATGGCCATCACTTCAAGTGATTGGGGTGCCTTTCGACGCAGAGGTCCCCCCTCGTATTTGGCATATTCTGCTTTCTGTAGCTCTGCCAGTTTCCTCACTGCCAGCATCAACTTCTTTTGGTGTCCTGAGTGGGGAGCAGGGGATTGTAGGGGGAGAGCAGGTCAGAAGGACCCAGAGATGCAAGTAAAGGTGGAGGGGCCAGGGCTGGGACCTCACCCAGCTTGGTGATGCCAATCTCTTGCAGGTCCTCCCAAGTGATGTCGGTGATGAAGTCAATGTTCTCATAGCCGTTGTCCACCAGCACCTTGTAGTACTGGGCCAGGCCAATCATGGACAGCCACACAGCCAGGTTAGCCTATGGAGTGGGGGACAGAGAGGGGCAGCCCAAGCCAGCTGCTCACATCCTGACCACCTACTTGGAGCTATTAGAGGATGGGCCTGTGGGGCACAGACAGACAGAAGGACAAACGGACAGGCCTGGAGTGTCAGTATTGCAGACAGCATAGCCACACCCTTGGGAAACCACTAGCCAGCTCCTCAACATGTCCACTGTGCACTGGGTCACACACAAGTCAACACATGCAAACACACATACACATATGCAAACACACATGGGGTACCTATCATCAGGACACAGTTTCAGATGTTAAGAAAGTGCTTTACCTGGTCACTTGGCCACAGCAGTGCCCTGAGGAGACACACCCATACATCATGGACAGACACACTGTGCTACATAAAATACATATACACATGTACACCCTGCATGCTACTTCTGGCCATACAAAGCACAGGCACCCTGTTTTGATCACCCTTACTCTGTTTCCCCACTCACAGCAGATGCATGGTCACACGCTTGTCACACATACAACACAGAGCTACACCACACAAACTTCCCAGTCATCCCAAACTCCCAGCTGATGCCACTCGTGCACCCACACTAGGCACCTTCACTCATGCAGGTGACAGAGTGAGGCGAGGCCCATGACACCCAGATGTATTCCTGGGAGGATCCCTGAGCTGCTGAGTAGCAAGGTAGGATAGATGAGTGCAGACCTGCATGCCAACAAATCCAGGGTCCTGGGGAAGGGAGCTTTGGATGGCCACCAGTACCTCTCCCATGGATGGATGGGAACACAGAGCTGGTGTGGAGCCCATCAGGCCAACACCAGTGCAGAAGCCATCCCTACACATAGGCATATCCTCATTAGTAAGAGCACAGGCCACTGTCTGTGCAGGTGCCACCAGAGGAGAGTTGTCAGCCATTAGCATGAGCCAGCAGGCATGGTGGGACCTGTGTGCATACATGTGGTCAGCATGTCCCACACTGGCCCCTTGAAGTCCATCTGAGACTGAAAGATAGTGCTATGGGGGGTGCTGCCAATGAGTAGAGAAGACATACCCTTCTGGCTTCAGGTTCTTCTCATCCTGACAGCCCCTACATAGTTTTAGCCATGCCTCTGCCTAAAGAGGCTGTGCCCAGTACCCATGATGGGAAAATAGGCTGTCCATATGGCTCCCTGATGGCTACCCTCTATAGCCTAGGCAGGCCTTGAACTCACGATCCTCCTGTCTCAGCCTCCCTAAGTGCTAGTTATAGGCCCGTGCCACCAGGACTGGCTCCATCCTCCACTTCCTAGGACCCCAGAAGGAAGATGAACGCAGTTGCCAGGGAAGTAGCCTGTCTGTTTGTCTGTCCATCTGCCTGTCAGTCCCGGCTCGGCCACCATGGCGTAATGAGCCTTACTGGTTTGTGTTCAGGCAGCCAGTCAGGGATGCTCAGGCCACTGATCTCAGCTGTGATCTTCTTCCGGTGGCCTGGCTTGGTGACACCAATGGCAGTGAGGTCCTAGGCAGAGAAAAGGCCATTAATTAGCAGGAGGAAGAACTCTGCTTTTGGGAAGGGAGGCAGCTGGCAGCCAGCCCATAGAAGCTCACCTCAGGGGTCATCCGGCTGATGGTAGGCAGGTCATAGCCGGCACTGGTGAAATTGGGGGCATAGAGCTGTAGCTGGAACGTGGCAAGCCACTGACTGACTGCCTCAGCACTCTGCAAGACACAAGGGACCGACTGCAGCCCGTCCACTGCTGGGCCGTGCCCCAGCCTCCACAGTGCCTCCTTCTCTGCTTGGCTTGTGGCTGGAGCGCTGGGTCCGCTGTTATGGTCCACTGCACTGGTACTCCATGATCTTGCCATCTTACAGTGTCCGCAGCCCTCCAACCTTCTTCTGTGAGCTCCACCAGGAAGGTCCAGCTGCAGTCTGTATCATGGCCTCCCCTCCCACTCCCCCATGTCTGCACCAAGGATACCCATACCATCTCAGGGAGATAGGTGGTATGGCCCCATGTGAGGGGGCTCTGGGGAAAGGCGCTTCAGGCTGGGATGCTCCCTGGAAAGTGGTCTCTGTGCCCCAATCAGGGATCCCTCGCCTCCTCTGCTATGCAGGATTCAGCCAGCATCTCACTCCTCACAGCCACACAGGTCTACACAACATGACTCACTGCACCTACATACATACTTGTGTCTCACACCTATCTCCTTCCAGCTGTGCAACCACAAGCATACACGCCCAGCTCATAGTTGACCATTCCACATCCATGTCACTCTCCAAACCTCCACAAGTGTGCACACACTAGCTCACAACCTATACAACAAACAACACCTGTACACTTGTGTGTGTGCACATATGACGCACAGACAGAAGGACAGAATCTGGTCTGTCAAGGCCCACAGCTGTTACTGTGGCTAGATATGCCTATTAGACTGTCAACCCCACCCCTCCCAAGCCTGGGCCTGGAGCTGACCGGGCCCTGTACCTTGCCCTCTGAGGCTGGCTCCAGCTTCTTAGGTGGCTGCTCCCCAAATACCTGCCCAGCATGGGCTGCTGCAGGCTGAGATCGGGCAGCACCTGGTGATGAGAGGGAATAGTAGGGCAAGAGCTATTTAGGGGCTACCATCCTGCTAGGCCAGCTTAGCTAGGTCCTTTCTCTTACCTGCAGAGCCCTCTGGAGGTTTGACAGGGCTATCCCCTGGGCTGGACTCAGAGACCGACTTCTGGGAAAGCACTGTTGCCAGGAGCTATAACCCAGAAAAGCCACTTGCTAGCACTGCTCTAGGCTTGGCTACCCCAGCCCAGCCAAACTTCTCCCTGTCCCCACTCACCTTAGCTCCTTCGGAGCCTGCATGCAGAACATGGCCCCCACCACTCCTACCACCAGCCACACTGCTCAAGTTGCCACTGCGGTCTCCACCTGCCAGCACAGGGACCATGAAGTATGCTGACCCCACAGAGGTACCCAGCAGAAGGGCTACAATCCCAGTGTTCTGCAGGGCCCTGACCTACCTGCAAAAGGTTTCCTCAGCACCCAGATCTCCTCTGAGGGTGCAGAGGGCCCCAGTGAGCCGCCTCCCTGAGGTGGACTTAGTTCACTGCCTGTTCGGGGACCTGTAGGCCAAACATAGTCATGTTGAGCTCTGGGTGGCCCAGACACAGCCAGACCTGGAGAGGGATCAGCATAGAAGCTATTCCACGGTCTCACATCCTGTTGTCTCCAGTGACCTGAGAGACCTGGTTGTCTGAGACCAGGTCAGAGTGATCCTACCACTGGCCCTAAGGTCCTGCAGGCAAAGAGGCCGATGACCACTGGAAAATGTGACTTTCTCTATGCTAGGAGGCAAGTAAAAAGCTACCCAGTGGCCTAAGGCAAAAACTCCTATCCCAGGAATCAGATGATTATGGGTGACTGGCCATACCTTCTACCCAGCCCCCTTGTCCCACCTACTAATCTCCATGTCCATTCTAAGAAGCAAAGCAATCTGATCCCCACCCCACCTCCTGCCTCCTAAAACCATACCATGGGGTTTCCCAACTTAATCCTGTACTTACCGGGATCCACCATTCTAGCCTCCTGTCTTTTCAGGTGCTAACATCCTTCCTGCCCCAGTATCCTTGCATGTATGATTCATGTTCCCAGGACTGAATTCCCTATGACCTGCCCTTTACCCCAACCTTCAAGCCGTCTCTGACCTCCCTAGCTAAGGTAGGTTTTTCTCCACTTTCTCTGTGTCACTGGTTGATACTTTCCTTCTGGATTTACAACATTGTTCCCTGCTCCCTCCCACCCTAGGGCAAACTCCTCAAGAGCAGGAGCAATGTCTCTCTGGGACTCTGTGTATCCAGTGGCCAGCTGAGAACTGGATCTTGGCAGCCAGGCATGGTTGAACAAGTGAAGGGATGCCTGTGGAACTCTGCTGAGAAACGGCCAGCAGGGGGCTCTATTGGACCATGGCTAGAACTCAGCCTGGCCCTGCCACCACATATTAAAGTATCTTTCCAGCCTTCCAGTCCCCAGGCTCAGGCTGAGTGACCCCTGCTTGTTTCTCTCCAGGACTGGATGAACTCACCTGCTCGCTTGATGATGGCCTCACCCACGGAGGATGGGAAGTAGCCCACCCTGTCATTGCCTGTCCGGTTGTCATGGATACAGCCCTTCCACCGGCCATCTGGATGCTGTTCCAGTACCTGGGCAAACAAGTGAGATGTGTACTCAGGGAGACACCTCTGAAGGTGAGGCCTGCTGCCTTGCACCCATTTCCCCCACCAGCTGCTGCAGGATAGTGTTCTGAGCATGCCTGGGTCCCTCCCATCCCTGCCAAAACACTCAGGGACTGTCCTCACCGTAATAATGTCCCCAGCCTTCACATTGAGGCTGGTTAGGTCGTAATTGTTGCAGTAATCCTTGGTGGCCCGAACCTGCAGGGCTGCTGAGGCCTCTGAGGATACAGGGAGTAGACCCCCCAGTCCTGGGAGCTGCCCTCCACCCTGGCCCTGCCCCAGCCCTTAGCCCCTCCTGGTCCCACCTCGAAGCAGCTGCTTGATCTCCTTGCTGGCCTGGGATGTGGTAAACTGGTGCACTATGTCCAGCGCTGTCTGGCTATAGGTGTTCCTCACCTGGGCATTGATCCCACTCTGCACACGCCAAAGGGTGACGTCCCGTCAGGGGTCCCCAAGCCCCCTACTTAGCTTCAAACCCATCTCCCCATCCTGGGTCCCCAGACTCACATCCAACAATAGCCGAACTACTTCTGTCTTCCCACAGAGCGCAGCCTCATGAAGGGCCGTGCCCGACTTGGTCTGGCGGTTAATGTCGATGCCCGCCTGGAGGAGGAGTCTGGTGGGAAGGTGGAGAGAGCAGGCAGGGCCTTTCAGTAGGAACCCCCTTACTATAGCATCCTCAGACCAGACCTTGATTCCCAAGTGCCCTAATTGCCTGCTGGAGCTGGAAAATAACCAGACCTGCCTGTGATGATATAATATCTAATGTCCCTTTTCCTCTGAAGATCTGCCCTTCACTGAGTTTTCATAGCTATTATCTTGTCCAATCCTGGGGTAGACAATATTTCAGGTCCCACTTTAGAGATGAGGAAACTAAGGCTCAGAGAAGTTAAGTGCTTTCACAGATCACTCAGTAAATGGCAGGGCCAAGACAGCCAGAACTGACAAACTACAGAAGCCTCTTCCATAGCCCCTCTAGTCTCTCTTTTACCTAGGCATACACACAGGCCTGATCATAACTCTTCAGCTCTCTAGAGGCTCCTATCTTTTTTGTGTGATGCTAGGGATTGAAACTAGGACCTCATGCATTGAGGCAAGCACTCACCAGGGCTATATCCCCAGGCCTTTGTGTATGTGTGTATACATTCATTTGTGTATGCATGCAAATAGGTGCCAGTATGTGGGTACACATTCACATGTATGCATGTGTGTGTAGAAGACAGAGACCAGTGTTGGGTTTTGTCTCCAATCATTCTCCACCTAGCTGTGAGTGGCCTGGAACTTTCTATGTAGACCAGGCTAGCCTCAAATTCACAGAACTCTACCTGCTTCTGCCTCCCAAGTGCTGGAACTAAAGGTGTGCACCACCAGGCCTTGCTCCTCCATATATATATTTTTTTGGGGGGGTCTTTTTTGAAACAGGGTCTCCCTGTAGCTGTCCTGGAACTCACTATGTAGACCAGGCTGGCCTTGAACTCATAGAGATCTGCCTGCCTCTCCCTCCCAAGTACTGGAACTACAGGTGTGTGCCACCATGCCCGGCTTTCCTCCTTATATACTTATATAGTTGGACTCTGTATATATTTTGAGTGTTTGAAACAGCTTCACCTTGAACTTGGACTTTCTCAGCAGCTGCTAACTGTGCTTGCTGAGATAAACCTTCCATCTTGACATCCCCCAAACCACCTAGGTATCTGAGGCTGGGTTCTTGTAGACATCAGGATTTGTGATGACAGGGCATTCTTAGATTTCTAGAGAGTGACCCTGTTGAAGACCTGAAGACCCATCTGGGCACTGCTTTCCTTATCTTCTTTTCCACTCTATGTCTTGCTTTCCTGACTGGTTTTACATTGATTTTAGCTGCTGCTGCCAGCTGGGCTTCTGTGGCTGTTTGTGTGGAATCTTGTTCCTTGAACTCTGGTACTGATTCATCACTGTCAGATTCTGTTTCAGACATGTGTGTGCAGAACACAGAACCAAGGTGGCAGTGGAAAGAGAACAAACGAGCGTCTCATCCTTGATATTTCAGAATTTTTATTTTCCTGCCTATTCTGACCTGAACTCACTATGTAGACCAGGCTGGGCTTGAACTCACAGAGATCCACCTGCCTCTGCCTCCTGAGTGCTGGGACTAAAGGCATGTGCCACTACGCTCGGCCAGCCCCTATTTTTAAAGATTTACTTTTTACTTTTTATTTAGGTATATGTGTGAATGTGACTACAGTGAGTATGTACACAAGTGCAGTGCCTGAGGAAGTCAGAAGAGAATGTTGGATCCCCTAGAGCTGGAGTTACAGGTAGTTGTGAGTCACCTAATGTGAATACTCGTACTGAACATGGATGCTCAGGAAGAACAGCAAGTGCTCTTAACTGCTGAGTCATCTTTCCAGTCTCTCCAACTTATTTTTTGAGACAGAGAGACAGGGTCTCTCACTGAACCTGGAGCTCACTGATTTGGCTTGACTGGCTGACCAGCAAGCCTCAGGCATGCCTGGTGCATATATGTGGATATATAATGTAATTTTATGTGTATGAGTGGTTTTTGCCTCCATTTATGTAAGTGCACCATGTGTATGTATTGCATAGAGGCCAGAAGAGGGTGTCTTGTCAGATCCTCTGGAACTGGAGTTACAGGTGGTTGTGAGCTGCCATGTGGGTGGCAGGAACCAAATCCAGGTCCTCTACAAGAGCAGCCAGTAGTACTTTTAATCACTGAGATATTTCTCTAGCTCCCTATGCCTGGCTTTAACATGAGAATCCAAATTCAGGTCTTCATGCTTGCATGGAAAGCATTTTACAAACTGAGCCATCTCCCCAGTCCCCTTCTTTTTATAAATTTTTTTATGTGTATGAGTGTATTGCCTGCATGTATATAAGTGCACCCATGTCATACAATGCCCATGGAGATCAGAAGAAGGTGCTGGATCCCCTGGAACTGGAGTTATAGATGGTTGTTAGCTGCCATATGGGTGCTAGGAATCAAGCCCAGGTCCTTTGCAAGAGCAGCTAATACTCTTAACTGTTGAGCCATCTCTCCAGCCTGCCCCCACTCCTCTTTTTTTTTTCTTTTGGTCTTTTTGAGACAGGGTCTCCCTGTAGCCCCCAGCTGTCCTGAAACTCACTATGTAGACCAGACTGGCCTTGAACTCACAAAGATCTGCCTGCTTCTGCCTCCCAAGTGCTGGGATTAAAGGCGTGCGCCACCACACCTGGCCTTTTTTAACTTTTTAATTTATTTTTATTTTATGTATGGGTGTATTGCCTGCATGTAAGTGCACCCATGTGATGCAATGTCTACGGATATCAGAAGAGGGCGTCGGATCCCCTGTAACTGGAGTTATAGATGGTTGTTAGCTGTTATGTGGGTGCTGGGAATCAAACCCTTGTTCTCTACAAGAGCAGTCAGTGCTCTTAACTGCTGAGCCATCTCTCCAGCCATCCCTCCAGCCCCAACATTTTTTGTGTGTTGTTTTGTTTTTTGAGACAGGGTCTCCCTGTATCCCCAGCTTGCCTGGAACTCACTATGTAGACCAGGGTGCCCTTGAACTCACAGAGATCCATCTGCCTCTGCCTCTCAAGAGCTGGGATTAAAGGCATGTGCCACTATGTCTGGCCCTCCTCTTTGTTTTTTAAAGACAGGATTTCCTGTAGCCCAAGCTGGCTTCTAATTTACTATATGGTAGAGGATAACCCTGAACTCCTGATCTCCCTGCCTCCCCCCACACCTAACTCTAGCTCTTTATTTTTCATTTTGAGGGAGGGTCTTGCTAAGTTGCCTAGCCTGGCTTTGAACTTTATATCCTACCTCAGTGTCCCAAGTGTCTGGGATGGCAGACCTATGTCACTAGCTTAGAGGCGCCTATCTAATTCCCAAATCAGGAACAGAAGCCTCAAGACCCTGGATATCACTGTGCCCTGGAAGCCTGAGGGCTGGTCCCTGCCCTGTCCCTGGCTGTACCTGATGATATCAATATGGCCATTCTTGGCTGCCAGGTGCAGAGGGCTGGTGCCGTTGGGGTCAGTGGCATCCCCTGGTCGGGGCTCCAGCAAGGCCGTACACATGTTGCTACTTAGCAGCAACTGGACCACCTAGAAGGAGGGATCAGGGTAGGGTGGTTCTAGTTTGGGGCTGTCCCCAACCTCATCCCAAGTGAGGTGCACAGGGTGGAGGAGCCCCACTCAGCTCTAAGGGAGACTTACCCCTACACGGCCGAACTCACAGGCCAGGTCCAAAGGTGTCTTCCCAGAGTTGTCTACCATGCATGGGTTGGACTGGTGCTGCAGCAGCATCTCTGACTGTAGGACAAAGGCCTGGTCAGCCCTGGGTCCCGCCAGCCCTCTGCCTGACTGCCCACCCAACTTTTCCATGGGGCCTCACCACATCGTAGTGACCATGCTGGGCAGCCAGGTGCAGGGGGATGTGACCCTCATCAGATGGGACGTTCACTGCCGAACCTGCCTTCAGCACCAGTTTCATGGGCTCCTTCCGGCCCTGCCAGGCCGCATAGTGCAATGGTCGCATGCCTGGAGACAGGTGGGGTCTGTTGGGCACTAACCCCTGACCCTAAATCCGACCCTGACCTAAGGATGTATCACTATCCTTAAGGTCCTTTCTTAACTTACCAGGTAGACACGCTGGGCAGAGACCTCAACAGAGGGACCATCAAGGCTGCCAGGACTCTACCCTCAGCCTTGTGTTCTGCCCTTGGCTTCAGGGCCCCCCAAACCAAGCTTGCCTTTGTTGTCCTTGATGTCTACAGCAGCCTGAGCCTCCAGCAGCAGGGAGATCAATTCTGTGTTTCCATTCAGGGCGGCGTGGTGCAGGGCTGAGAAGCTGGGCAGGTGAAGAATAGGTCTAGGAGAAGACACCAACACCCCAGCCTTCCCTGGGGTCCATGTACCCCATCCAGGCTGCTATTGCACTAGCTGAGAACTTACCCATCTGGGTCCTGGAAGTTGACATTGATCTTCTTGGTGGATCCCAGGAGCTCTGTGGGGAGAGGGAGACCTGATGAGGAAAGGCTGCCCAGACCCTCCTAAAGAGTAAGGGAAGGTAGGGTGGCCATGGTGGTGCATGTGCATGCCTTTAATCCCAGCACTCAGGAGACAGAGGCAGGCAGATCTATGTAAGTTCCAGGACAGCCTGGTCTACATTGTGAGTCCCAGGACAGCCAGGGCTATATAGTGAGACCCTGTCTCAAAGAAAAAAACAATACAAAGAAAGAGCTGGTGGCAAGCTGCCTGGCTGCCAGAGCCAAGTTCTTAGTTTGTAGTCATGCATCTAGTTCAGTCAGCCCTCAGTTCCAGATGCCAGCAACTTGGGTTTTGGTTTCTCCTTGTACTGATATTGAGAGGAGACAGTATGCCAAGGACTGTGGCCTGTCCTTACCTGGGAATGGAAACACAGGGACACACATGTGCACATGCAACCCTCCTTCAGGATGCTGGCTCAACATCTGCTACTGGTGGGAAGGAGCGAGTCAGCCCCATCTGTCTCTTAGAAGGACCCAGATGGGGCTGGGGGTGGCCGAGGAGGCTGGAACACCCGGAAATGGGGTATCTCTGGGGAAAGGACTACCTCTCCACATGCAGTTTTCTCTGCCAGCTCTGGCTGGCATGTGAATAAAACCTATACCCAGGCAGGGAGAAAGGAGAGACAAGGGTATGGGCCAGGGCTTTCAGGTGACCCATGCCAATGGCCACCTTGTCTGCAGAGGCCATATTCAGACCCCATGCTCAAATGACCTAGAACCCCAGTGGCTACATTTTCCCTTCTACAGTCTCTTCTATCCTGAGGCCTTTCCCACTCTAGCCTCCCCCAGAGCCTCCAGAGGAGGGAGCCCACCAAGGCCATCCCAGTGGGCTCAGGTCCACCGGACTCTTGCCAACCCCCTGCCTGTTTGGGCCATGGTTACATAACCCATTTGTGGGTCAGTCACTCTTGGGGGGGCCGGGACTGGAAGGACAGAAGCCCCTTTGTCCAGGCCCAGGACAGGGGTGGGGGTGGGGACCTGAGGGCAGGGGAGCCACGAGAGTAGAGTCATAGCAGGCTGGCTGCAGGGCTCAGTTTAGATTGGCTCAGCCTTAGCCACTGGGTACAGCATGTAGGTTTCCTGATGACCCTTGAAGTCAGCTGTACTTCCTAGCCTTATGGCCTTGGCCACTGACCTCTTCCAAGAGCTGGAAAAGGTGGTGTCACCTGAGCTGATAAGGCTCAGAGCATTCCTGGATACCAAGTCCTACTATCACCGGCCCACAAGATCTCTCCTGTTGACAGTGAAGGTATTATTAGCTCCTGGTTCCTCCCATCTTCTGATATTGTTGATAGTTCATCAACTGTCTGCCACTTTCTTGATGGTGGCCTGGACCAAGCCTTAGAGTCAAGAGTCAAGAGTCAGCTCTGGGGGTCTTTCTCATGTGCCTTTGTTACATTTTCAGGTAAACCCCTCTGGCTCTGCATGAAGATGTACTCATACAACATTTGGGTCCCACGCTTACCATGCCAGTCACCACTGTGTGATCATAAGGTACTTTGGGTAGGATCCTGCCATTGCCTCCTCACTGGCATCCCTACTGCCCCCTTGTACCCTTCTGTTTGTCCTCTATACACACAAATTGGTATACTGTTAAAATGGAAGTCACAGGTGGGCATGGTGGCTCATGCCTTTAGTCCCAACACTCAGGAGGCAGAGGCAGACAGAACTCTGTGAGTTCCAGGCTAGTCTGATCTACATAGCAAGTTTTAGGCCAGTCAGGAATACATAGTGAGACCCTGTCCAAAGAACAAAACAAAACATAAAATGGGGGCAGGGACTGAAGAGACAGTTCAGTAGTTAAGAGCACTGGCTGCTCTTGAAGAGGACCCAGGTTTGGTTCCCAGCACCCATATGGCAGCTTAACTCCTGTTTCAGGGGATCCGATACCCTCTTCTGACCTCCACAACCACTGCACACATGGTGCACTTACACACATGCAGGCAAAACACACAAAAAATAAATTTTAAAAAATGCAAATCACAGCCAGCCAGACATAGTGGCACATACTTGTAATCTCAGTGGTAGAGGTGGGAGGATCAGGAGTTCAGGTCAGCCTTGACTACATAGTAAGTTTGAGGCCAGCATGGGCTACATGACACCCTGTAACAACAGAAAAAGAAAACAAAACTCTCAAAAACCACAAATTGGGGCTGGAGAGATGGCTCAGCTGTTAAAAGCACTGGCTTCTCTTCCAGAGAACCAGGGTTCAGTTCCCAGCACCCACATGGGCTAACAACCATCTGTAACTCCAGTTCCAGTGGATCTGATGCCCTCTTCTGGTCTCTGTGAGCACTTGCATACATGTAGTACACAGACATACATACATGCAGGTAAAACATTCATACATATACTTTTTTTTTAATTTGTAAAAACAAAGTGGGAGGCACAGAAACACAAGTCAGACCCTCTTGAAAATCTGCCCATGTCACTAGGGTGGACACTGAGACTGCAATGGCTCACATGATTTGGCCCTTTCTTTTGCTCCAACTCCCCCCGCCCATTTTCATCATCCCTGCTCCAGCTGTACAAGTTCCTTGATGTTCTTCTGATATACAGGCCATTTCTGCCACAGGGCCTTTGCACATGCTGGTGGGGGGCACAACAGATGACTACTCTTGGTTATCTGTATGACTCCCTTCTTCATGCTCTTCAGGTCTCAATCCAGATGTGGCTTGTTCTCCAAGGTCTCCTATCCAAAACACAACCCTTCCCTTCCCAGGTTTGCTGTGTCGTTCTCTCTAGCCCTCATTACCACCCAGTGTATTCTGTCTATGTATTAACATGTATACTGTTCCATTTCCTTCACTCAACTGATGCTCCCATAGGACAAGGGCTTCATCAGTTTTCCTCCTGGCTTTGGTGGCTAAGACAGTGACAACTCCACCTACACACTGTCCATCTTCAGGGCCAACTTTATGGGCAGGTGACCTGTGCTGTTACTCAGAAAGGTCCCCTGCCTGCAACACTTTGTTTTTGGATAAGGAGTCCTGAATTATAGTCTCATACAAGGCCCTGACAACTATGTGGCTGAGCCTGTCACAGTGCCTGCTGTGAGGTGAGGGGAGTACAGATGTTATTGCCCCTTGATACTCCCTCCAGGGCCATGTTCAAGACCCTCTTTCCTTCCTTCCCCATTCTTCTCAACGGCAATGCAATCCAAGGCTTCCCAGTTTCCTGCCCTCCCTCCCACCGTGGGGCTTCCAAGCAGCTACAGAGTCAGGTGCAAGGAGTGGAACCCCCAGACAAGCTGCTCTGAAGTCACATCTGCAGAGGCTGATGTTTTAGAGAGGCACAGGGGTCAAGACTCAGTAACACAGTGGGGGAGGAGTCTCCATCAAGAAAGCACACATCTTTAATTCTAGCACTTGAGAGGCAGAGGCAGGCAGATCGCTAAGAATTTGAGACCAGCCTGGTCTACCTAGGGAGTTCCAGGCTAGCCAGTGCTATATAGTGAGACCCTGTCTACATAAAAAAAGGGAGGACTTCCCCCCCCATGTAAGGAGGATCACTTTCCCAAGACCATAAATCCTCAGTCACACAGGGAAGGAAATAGTGGAAACTGCTTAGATGACAGCCAGAGGTTTCAGGGTACCCCTAGTGCCTGCAGGAAATATTGAAGAAAGTGTAGGGCAGGGGCAGGTGTTCCCCAGCAGAATGAGCTCAGGATGAAGCAGGAGCAGAGGATAGGTACAGGAGGTCTGGGAACAGAGGAGAGGGATGTGGGGACTAAGCTGAAGGAGGGTTGCAAAGTCCTATGATTCTGCATGGATAATAGTGCCCAGGCATGGGGTGCAGCTCAGTGGCAGAATGCTTCTTTTTTTAAAAAAAAAATTATTTTTTTCATTCTTTTTTAATTTTTATTTTATGTGTATGAGTGTATTGCCTGCATATATGTGAGTGCACCTGTGTCATGCAATGCCACGGAGGTCAGAAGAGGGCTTCAGAGTCCCCTGGAACTGGAGTTAAGGACAGTTCGTAGCCACCATATGGGTGTTGGGACTCGAACCTAGGTCCTCTGCAAGAGCAGTCAGTGCTCTTAACTGCTGAGCCATCTCTCCAGCCCCTATTTTTATTTTATGTGTATGTGTGTATTGCCTACATGTAGGTAAGTGCACCCATGTCGTGCAATGCCTGTGGAGGACAGAAGAGGCTGTTGGATCCCCTGGAACTGGAGGTACGGACAGTTGTTAGCTGCCATGTGGGTGCTGGGATTCAAACCTTGGTCTTCTGCAAGAACAGTCAGTGTTCTTAACCATGAACCATCTCTCTAGCCCTGCGGAGTGTTTCTTAACATACACAAAGTCCTAGATTCCATCCCCAGTACCACACACATAAATAGTGCACAAACCTTACCCCCCATTCATCCCATTTCTTGTGATCCCAGCCCTCAAGCTATCCAGAGACTAGCTTGAGGTCAGATCCACATTGCAGGCTGAAAGGGAATTCTTAGTGGGCCAATGTGAGGGAGAGACAGGCTCTGGGAATTCCTCCAGGCTGTCCTCAGCCTGCCTGGGGGAGAGAGGTTAGACCACAAAGCAAGACAGGGACACCTCTCCCGAAGCAGAAGGCCAGCCTCCACCAACATCTTCCCTCCAGACCTGTCTCTTCTTCCCTCAAGGACAACTGGGAAATATGCATGCTTGTGCATGGGGAGGCTCTTGGGGAGGCTCCCTTGGAGGGAAGATTGGGGCTGAAAGAGTCATTAGAAGAAGGGATGGGGCTGGGCACCAGAAGGGGCTCAAGAATACAAAGACTGTGGGAAAACTTCTAGGCTAGGGCAGGGAACTCATTCTCAAGGATGCTGATGGACACCCCCACCCCATGGCCCAAACTCCAGCTGTACTTTGCTGAATCAAAATACATCTTACTCCAAAGCAGGCCAGTGTTGCCATGACGACTGAGCTAATTCATAGAGGGATTTCTGTCTGATTTATTACACTGCCCCTCTGACTCAGAGAGTACAGATTCAGGGGCCAAGACAGGTGTCTCTGTTGCTCCAGAGTTCAACCCAGCCATAATCAGAAGCACAGACCCAGGTAGAAGTGACAGTCCTCTAACCTCCCTGGTATGGCAGAACCAGAGGGAGGAGGAACCCCATTATCTGTGGCCCCACTGGCTGGCAGTGGAAAGCAGCCAGCACTGTTAGTGTTTACTGAACATGAACTAAGTGTCTCCTCTTCACAATCACCTTCCTACTGTTCTCAGGACACTATGGAGCGGCAGGGACCAGAGATGTCCCAATCTACAGACAAAGAAATTGAGGCCTAAAGAGTCAGTTGTCTATACCCAAGGACACACTACCACTAGGTGGAAGCCTGTATTTCATCCTCCTCCATCTGCCTCTCCCTAGAAGCTCCCCTTCTCAGCCCTGAGGCCCCAAAGCCAGCCCCAGTAAGTGGGGCTTCCCAGCCAGCCTGTGTGCCTTCAAGGTCCCACTATCTTTCCCTCCATCTGCACAAAGTGGACAAGAGCCACGCTAGGCAGTCTGAGGTCTCAGCAACCCCTTGGAGAAAGGGGATCCCCCTCTTCCTGTTCACATACAGTCTGTGGTGGGTAAGGAGTGAGGGCACTGAGGTCTCAAGTGCTGACCTGCAGAGTCCACCTTGTGCCTGCACAGGTGCCCTGACACACTGACACGGTCATACGTGTGTGCGCAGCCGCACACTCGGCTAGTCCACACGCCCATCCATCCATTTCCCCAGGCCCCTAGGGAGGCTCCAGAATGAGCAGCGATGAGTGCTAGGATCAGATCTTCAAGCTCCCAGCCCTTCCCTGAGGCCCCCAGGGCACAAGCTAGGAATGGCGTGGGGGGTGGGGAGGGGCTTGCTCCTCTATTGCCCCCTTTCCCAGTAGGGAACGCCAGGGATGACCAGGGTCTGTAGAAGCCTGCCTGAGCAGTGAGTCTGTAGCCCTTGTCCCTAAATCCTCCCCTGCCTGAAGCCCAGTCTGCCCGAGGGCTGGGCGACCTTGGGCCTCTGCTCCACTCCCTCGTCAATAAATGGCCCCCACCGGCCATGCCTGGGCAGCCACACCCCCAGCGTGGTCCTGCCCCCTCCCCCTTCCCTGCAAAGCGTGTTATTAAACATAGGATAGGGAGAGGAGTCTGACAGAGATTGTCAGCCCCAGGTTGCCCCTCACTGCAAGGGCCCCTCCCTCTACCCACAGTGTGTGTGTGGGGGGGGGGTATCCGCCTCGCCCTTTAAAGGCCCCAGCAAAAACCTCTAGCTGTCAAGCCTCTCAGGCGCAGGCTAGGAAGGGAGGAGGATGCCACTGCCAGCGCTGGCAGGGGCGGCGGATGCCGCAGGTGCCCGCAGGGGGCTGGGGGACTGCAGGGCGCTCTTTGCCGCCCCTCCTCCAGCGCTGGGGCTGGGAGGGGGCGCGGACTCAGGGTCTGGGCGCTGCTGGCCCCGCCCCACCCCCTGGGACCCACAGCATCCCCTCCCCGCCCTGGGCCCAGGCAGTAGGGGCTCCACCAGCGCCCCGCGCGCCCCCCGCACTCACTGGCCTTCCCGGGCCGCGGCCTCTGCAGCAGCCTCTGCGCGGTCCCCACGTCCTCCGCCTTCACCGCTTGCACCAGCTCCTGCTCCTTCCCCATGGCGCGTCCGGGCCCGCAGCGACGCGGCGCTCCGTGCGCTGGGCAGCTCAGACAAGGCGGCAGCGGCCGGGTAGCTGCGACCGCATCCTCTCCGACCCGCGCCGCCTGCGCCGCCCTGCGCCCTCCGCGGGCTCCGGCTCCGCTCCGGCTCGGGCTCGGGCTCG